GATCTAACCCTAAAAAAAAAAAAAAAAGAAAGAAAGAAAGAGAAAAAGAAAAAAAGGGAACAGCACTAACTCCTGTCGCCTTGCGTCCAAGAAGTTCGTTATCACACACATGTGCAAATGCCTCTGTCGGAATGGACCTGAAGCTGCAGGAGATCAGGTAGATGACCTCCATCGTAATAATCCAAGTGCATTGGGATAAAGGTATTCTCGCATCAAGGCCAAGTCCAGAGGCAGAGGTGCACTTCTCCTCCTCCGCGCCTTCCCGAAGACATCAACGAAAAAGATATTGAGCAGCAGCTGCAAGCCATCTACGGCAGTAGAATCAGAGTTACTTCGGTATAACTGCTACTATACTGAACTCCCATTTGCAGCGGTTGATGTGTTACCTTTCTTGTTTCCGAGTTTGCCCTCAGTTCGAGCTCTATCTACATCCTGTGCTTACTTTCTACCCTCCCTCCCTCCCTCCCTCCCTTCCTCCCTCCCTCCCTCTTTCAAACTTCCTTGAAAAAGAAACTAATCACCACGTTTTCTCCAGTTCCCTTGAACTTCCTGCGTTGGTTCCCTCCTATGCATCCGTGCTTGGTTTTCCATCCTCCATTTCCCCCCTCCCTTTCCTTCCCCTCCCTTTCCTTCCCCTCCTTCCCTCCCCTCCTTCCTTCCCTTCCTTCCTTCCTCCCTTCCTTCCTCCCTTGCTTCCTTTCTTCCTGCCATCCTCTTGCTCCATTCGTTTCATCCCACATGCCTCTCTTCCTCCATTCCGTCCGTCTACCTCTCCTTCCCCCCTTTATTTCTGCCCTCCCTCCTGTTTCATCCTTTCCTCTCTCCCTAACTGCAGGCAGGCTTGCCTGCCCATCTGCCACCCTTCGCCCCCTTCACCCCATGGCCCCTCTCTCTCTCTCTCTCTCTCTCTCTCTCTCTCTCTCTCTCTCTCTCTCTCTCTCTCTCTCTCTCTCTCTCTCTCTCTCTCTCTCTTGCTATGTGCGCGAGCGCACGCAGCAGGCAGGTGTAGGCACAGGTCCATCTGTGCGCGTTCGTGTGTATGCGTACGTGCGGGCATAGCTGCAGAAGGGATCTGGCAGCATCAGCAGCTGCGGCTATCGTCTTTTTCCGAGTACAGCGTACGGTCATTTTGCCTGTATTCGAGCCAACTTTCAGTCTAGATACCGCGAAAAATGACCGTACTTTTTTTCTATGCGAGGGAAGACGGTACTACTTAGTCTACGCGATCTCCTGAACTATTGGATCGCTCCTGGAATCTGACGACATACCAGTGCTTTCCGTATCAGACGTGTATAGCTCCCCAAGAATTGGGTTGCAAACCCTCTCCAGTTCTCTGAGCTTGTTTTGTAGCTCCTGTGTCTCAGCGAGCTGGTTGTGATCCAGCCAGCTCAGTGTGTTTCTGATGGCCTCCGCAACCTTTTCCCTGTTTTCTGGGGTCAGCTTTTTCGCCCCAGCCTCGTCTTTTTTCATTGCGTTCCGTGCATTAAATGCGTAATTCTCCAGACTGTTCTTTGCCGCCGCTCTGCGGCGATGCATCTCGTCCTCAGCCCGATACTTGTCCGCCTCCTGCACCATTCTGTCGATCTCTTCCTTTGCCAGTCTGCCTTTGTCATTGCGAATGGTGATCTTGTTCTTCTGCCCGCTCCCTCGCTCCTCCGCGCTCACATTCAGAATCCCATTGGCATCGATGTCGAAGGACACACAGATCTGAGGCACACCCCTGGGCGCCCGGGGAAGCCCTGTCAATTCGAACTTCCCCAGCAAGTTGTTCTCTCGAGTGCGCGCTCGCTCCCCCTCGTATACTTGCACCAGCACAGCTGGCTGGTTGTCCGCGAACGTGGAGAACACTTGCTCTTTTCGCGTCGGAATCGTCGTGTTGCGTGGAATGAGCACAGTCATCACGCCACCTGCCGTCTCCAGACCTAAGCTCAGCGGTGTCACGTCCAGGAGTAACAGGTCCTTAACCTGATCGCTCGTCTCGCCGGCCAAGATGGCAGCTTGCACTGCCGCTCCTGTGGCAACCGCTTCGTCGGGATTGACACTCCTGTTGAGCTCCTTACCGTTGAACAGCTCGGACAGCAGCGCCTGGACCTTGGGAATCCGGGTGGAACCGCCCACTAGAACCACCTGATCGACGCGGGACTTGTTGATCTTGGCATCCGCTAAGCATTGCTCAACTGGGCCCACGCACTTCCGGAACAGGTCCATGTTCATCTCCTCGAAACGAGCGCGCGTGATCGTCGAGGTGAAGTCGATGCCTTCCACCAAGGAATCCACTTCGATGTGGGTTTGCGAGGTCACAGACAGAGTGCGCTTGGCTCTCTCGCAGGCGGTCCTTAGCCGTCGCAGAGCTCGTGGGTTCGCGCTGATGTCTTTCTTGTGCTTCCGCTTGATCTCCTCCACGAAGTAGTTAACCATCCTGTTGTCGAAGTCCTCGCCTCCGAGGTGGGTGTCCCCTGAAGTGGCCTTGACTTCAAAGATACCCTCTTCGATGAGCAAGAGAGAGACGTCGAACGTTCCCCCGCCTAGATCGAATATCAACACGTACCGCTCCCCCGATGTAGCGGAACCCTTGTTGTCCAAGCCATAGGCAATGGCTGCCGCAGTCGGCTCGTTGATGATGCGCATCACATGGAGGCCGGCTATGGTGCCTGCATCTTTCGTCGCCTGTCGCTGGGAATCGTTGAAGTAGGCAGGCACAGTGATCACAGCATTGCTAACTTCGCGCCCGAGGAAAGCCTCTGCGGTCTCCCTCATCTTCATCAGCACCATGGAGGATATCTCTTCAGGGGAGAAGAGCTTGTTCTCTCCTTTGTACTGCACACTGATCATAGGCTTGCCTCCTTGCCCAGAAACTACCTTGAAAGACCACAGCTTCATGTCATCTTGCACCGAAGCATCGGCGAACTTTCGACCAATCAGGCGCTTTGCATCGAACACCGTGTTGGCGGGGTTCATTGCCACTTGATTCTTAGCAGCATCCCCAATCAAACGCTCAGTATCGGTGAATGCCACGTAGGATGGAGTTGTACGGTTGCCTTGATCATTAGCTATAATCTCCACACGATCGCGCTGCCATACCCCAACGCAGCTGTACGTCGTGCCCAAATCAATGCCAATGGCAGGGCCATCACTCCTTTGCGCACTGCTTCCCTCCATTTTTTCACTTTTAAATTTCCTCCCACGCGCGCTGCAGCTCACCCTGCAGCAGCCAGTAGACTCTCACAACCTGCTGCGTTCACACCACTTGTTCCACGTGTCATCACAGCACGACGTGTACATCTGATCGCATCTCATCACTTGATGTGATAGTCTGGCATCTCGACAGGGCTGTGGATTCGTCATCATCATTATATTTCCTGCCTACGTACAGTATGACTTCAGTTTTTGACGGAATCTAGTCGCAATCGAGTCCAAATACGTACATGTAGAACACGAATGAAGAAATGTTCTAGTGTTGATCCTTTCCGGTGTGAAAGCGTCCTGCTGACACTCGTTCCGATTGCCCCATCTCAAATGCACCCGCCGCAGAGCCGCGCTGATCAGGCAAAGCCGAAAGAGTAAACTCCCCCACTCGCAGATTGCTTTTAATCGCTTGCAATTTTTGTGAAAGTTCACCGGAGCCCATAGCTGACGCGATTGCGATCACAACGACTAGCTTTGGCAAAGGCAACATACGAATCATTTCCACGAATCATTTCCCCGCACTGGCACTTGTGGCAGTAAGTCTGCCGGGACAAGGCCCAATGTCCCCGCACTTGTCGCAGTAAGTCCGCCGGGACAAGGCCCCATGTCCCCGCACTTGTGGCCGTAAGTCTGCGTTATGTGTGTGTGCATATGTCAGATGACGTTTGTTGTTGCATTCCTCCCCCCCCTCCCCTCCTGCTGCTCCTTCCGCTCCTCCTCCTCCTCCCACTGCTTCTCCTGCTCTTCCCCCCGTCCCTCCTCCCGGTCCTCCTCCCGCTCGGAACCGACGCGCCCCGGGCCTCTGCCTCTTTCCCCCACGAACCGCCGCGCCCCTATACTCCCGCGCGAGACCCCCGTTCTCCTCCTCGGTCCCCTGCGGCACCCCTCTCGCGGAACTCCTCGCCACGATTTCGCGGACCGCTTTTTGCTTCCCCACGAACCGACGGAACCGACGCGCCCCGGGCCTCTGCCTCTTTCCCCCACGAACCGGCGCGCCCCTATACTCTAGCGCGACACCCCCGTTCTCCTCCTCGGTCCCCTGCGGCACCCCGCGCGGAACTCCTCGCCATGATTTTTCGTGGGCCCGGTGGGAGCGCAGCGCGCGGACCGCTTTTTGGGTGCCATCTTTGCAATGTACCCCCACCCGACGCTGCCCAATTTTGCAAAATGCCCCGACAGTAGCCAAGTTTTCGTAGGTGCAATTGCAAAACGCCAAGTGAATTTGCACACCCACCTGACAGGGGCATAAAACAAACATGTCGGTCCAAAAGGCCATTTCACTGTGCTGAAACGGTTTTCACCTTTGTGGCAGTTGCAGATCCCAGAGCTCGATCCCCAAACCTCACCCTTACCCGTGTACAATGCCAGCCAACCCATGTGTGCTTGAACCTGCAACCTGTGTCTTGTAAGTCGCCTGTTTGTTGCTGTAAGTAGGGTGGCCGTCAGGTCTTGAACGGTAGGTCTGTAGGATAGAGGTCTAAGTAACGGTAGGAGCCGTAGCTGCTACAGTGTTGAAGGGTCGAGTCGTACGCTCGTAGCTGAGCTTATCCTTCTTTTATGAGTAATCTCTGCCAGAGGGTTAGTTTGATCCATAAACTGACAAAGAGGATGAGATCCAAAAAATTCTTGAAAAGTAGCTACTAATGGTTTAGGGGTTACTAGGCTTTGAGGGTTTGGTAGATTTTTTCTTTTATTTATTCCCCGCATTACTTCAGCTATCATTCGTTTTAGTCGATTAAGTGCAATTCTTACTTGGCTTTGTAGCATATCTGCAATCAAATTCTTCCAGAAGGTCCAAAACTGACGCTTCGTGAGTCCTCGTAGGTAGTCCGTAGGCAAGTGGGCAAGTGGGTAGACTAATTGTCTACCGCGTGGGCGCGGGGAACGCAGCCCTAAGGTAGCCAAAGCAATGAGACTAAGAGCGCGCACGAGAGAGAGAGAGAGAGAGAGAGAGAGAGAGAGAGAGAGAGAGAGAGAGAGAGAGNGAGAGAGAGAGAGAGAGAGAGAGAGAGAGAGAGAGAGAGAGAGAGAGAGAGAGAGAGAGAGAATTCAAGCGTGGAGAACGGACACCGAAGGGGAGTTGTTGGGGATTCTGTTCGGGAAGGTGAGGGACGACCATTTGGAGCCAATCACGAGCAAGATCCTGGTGTTCCTGGCGCAGCTCCTGGACGATCTACCTCTAGATATCCTTTCGTGCTGCGACGAGCGGCCCAGACCGGTGGCGCTTACCCGTACGTTGGTACCACATCTGTTGTGGTCCACGTGTACGAAGCTCGACGGTGACAACTGCCACTACCCCTCCTCAAGCAACTGTTGTGGGATCCGATCACTCGAAGGGTGGAAGCAGAAGAAGAGGTAGGCGAAGAGGAAGAGAGAGAAGACGCGAGCGAGGAAGAAGAAGAAAACTGGGGGGCGGAATCTGACGACCCCGATTACCACGAGTCTGAGGAGGGTGAGCTGGAAGAGAGTGAGTCGGGCGGATCGGGCAGCCTCAACGAACGGAGTGAGGCGGAAGACGAAGCCGCAACCCAGAAGAGGCGGGAAAGGGCAGAAGGAAAGTTGGCAGTGGAAGAGTCGGATGGATCCGCAACGTGGCTATTACAAGGCGATCCGGCACGCAATCCCAGAGACGCCCCAAGAGGAGCTTGGAGGAGATGGCATTACCACCGCGAAGGGATCCAGAAGCAAATGTCGTAGAAGAAGTTCTTCGCTGGCTCAATCCTCTCCACCAGCACGGCCCACCGTTTGCATACGTGGAGATGCGGGTGCTCGGGCTTCGTCCCCGGTCATTATCCCGCCGTCCCCTTTATTACCTCACCCCCGTCAACTTGCAGGCCGCCCCCCATTCCCTTCTAACTGGCATCCTTTCCCACCCTCCCTCTTCCACCAACTCTACTCTACCCGACTCATCGCCACCGTCTTCCCGCACGCCACCACTCACTCTCTTGTAACTTCTTTCCCCCTCCACATCCTTCTTCTTAGCGTGGCATGACAGAAATATAATAATATAGAGGTTTATTGCATAATCGTGGGTACCATCCCCATGTGCGAAGAATATGAGAATTTCCTCGCCGCGATTCCCCGCACCCTCTGTACCCTCTATCCTAATTACCTCGCTTCAATCACGCATCAAGATCATCGTTTTCCTCGCATCCATCGTACCGTCCACTACACCCGACTCCCTGCTAGAGATCGGCGCAGCTCCGTCGCTTTCTGCCAACCATCCCACAAGTTCACCCTCCTCCTCCCCTGCCTATCATCAAGCTACCCTTCCCCAACAATCTCTAGGATCGAAGTTCCCGGGTGCCACCTGGATGACTTCTACACTCTCATCTTACGGTAAGTGGCACGTGTCAGCTCCACGTCGATCGCTGGTATTTTCTCACGAGATCGACGGATGATTGGGTGAGCAAGCAAGAGGTTGCTCAAGATTGGAACCCCCTGGGCGTCACATATGTGACGAACTGTTTTTGGCAACTGCGTGATTTTCATGTGCAAGGCTACTTCGGGGATTGAATTGGGAAGGGTCCACTGGATTACATAGGTGCCCTTGCTTTTATTGTTTTTCGGAATCGGGGCCGGGGTAATCTTGTGACAGTTGGTAGCTAATCGCGCCTTAGCGAGCGCGAAAGATAAATATTGCCATAGCTTCTTTTTTGTTCTGATGTGAGAAATGAGAATTTTGGTGTGATCGTCACGTGGGAGAATCTTTTTGAATTTTCAACTGATGTAGAGCCCCCGTGGGCTCTCGGAATTTGCTTTGCTTGAAATTTCTTTTTGCAATTAGGATTTAGATTACGAATTTAGGCACATCTCAATTTTTGCTGCACGATGCTTTGCCGCGCCAAGATCTATGTTCTGACTTTTTCGCGTCTCAATCCTTGCGTGTAACTGTAACTTTGTTTTGGCGGGCATAATTGCAACTGTAATCCTCTCGTTCTTGATATCTTTTGTGGCGTCCTTGTGTGCGCGTACTTCTTCCTCAGTCCTATTGGCTTGAACACTTGCATGACCGGATCAATGTGTGGAGTGAGGCTGCGTCCCCCACGCCGCGGCCCGACCACGGAGACGTAGGCACTTCCTTCCTCCTCCTTCTTTTCCACTCAAGCACAACCCCAGGTATCTCGCGCAAGCATGTATGCTATAAATTTTGCAAGCGCGATTAACTCGCTCTCTAAGAATTTTGGGAGTTAGTGCGGTCCAAGAGGATCGACTAACGAGCAAGAGTTGAAAGGTGAGTAGAGAGTTGGGCGATCTGACGAGCTGGTGCTGGGCATGCGGGGTTAACATGGGGCCGTGACGGACTGTGGCGCACGGGCGCTGTGTGTCCGATTTTGAATTCAACGCGGGTTCCGCGTTGAAAAATTCACCGCGTTGAAAAATTCAACGCGCGTTGAATTTTCGTTAAACTCCCGTTCAAATGCAAGTTGGACGCGAATTAACAGGGTCCGGGATGATTTTTTTCCTGGGCTAAAAATTATCCAAAAAATTTTTTAAAAAAAATAGGGTTGTAGGTTTTTTTATGACTGCAACCCTGTATTTTTATTTTTATTTTTTTATGCTTAAATATATTTTTTTAAAATCAAAAACATAAATACATAATGAAAAAACAAAAACTAAAATGAAATGAGTGTTTTTGTTTTGGGTTTTACACAGATTTTTTAAGAGCTAAAACAAAAAAAAAAAATAATAAAAAAAAAATATAGGGTTGTAGATTTTTCAAAGATGTACAACAATTTATTTTTTATTTTATTATTTTGGAAGTCGTGTATTTTTTAAAAAATCAGAACCATAAAAAGCAAATAAAAAAAAGGAAAAAAAGAGATACACACACACACAAAATTGGGCCTGTAGCAGGTTGCATGAGTCTGACGTCAGTTGGTTGAGGAAACCCAGGCCTTGGGCCACATGTGTCAATGTATGGAAAGCAGGCCCTGGGCTGGATACGGGTACTGGGCCAAACACAGACCAAAGGCAGTTGGGGGCATGCAACCACCTCAGGCCCAAGGCCTCTTCTCGTTCGTGCTGGGCCTCAGGCTACCGGGCCCTACTGGAAGCTTCCTGGGACTGAACACAGGCAGGCCACTTCGATATAGCAAAGGGCTTGCCTCCACATTGGGTATTCGGGTGCTGGCTGCATGCTGCGTAAGCACTGCCGTGCTGTAGCTCGCTGGCACTCACGCGCTCACGGGCGAGCAGGAAGGAGCAGGCAGCCATAGCCGAGCTGCGCTGTAGCTCGTTGGCGCTCACGCCAACAATCATGCACATACACACACACACACACACACACATACACACACACACACACTTACAAACACACGCATACACAAACACACGCGCATACATTCATATTCATGCACAGACACACTCTCACGCGCAGTCACACACATACACACATACGCGCACACACAGCACACCTACACACACATAACTGGGGCGTCGGGGGTTGGTGGATGTGGGGGCGGATGAGAGATGCTTCAGGGGTTGGGTTTTTTATTTTTTATTTATTTAAATTTTTTATTTTTTATTTTTTTGCGTAGGGCCACGTGTTCCGGACCCCGTGCATCAATTCCGTTTTTCCGAAAAGCGAGGGATCGGCCCATTTTTGCGTTTAACTCAAATTCAACGGGATTTTTTTGAATTTAACGGGATTCAACGGGAGTTTAATTCCCCCGTTCTCCGTTAAAAAGATACACAGCACGAGCGAACCTGGCTTGCATGCTCGGACTAAGCGGGGTGACAACTCTGTGTGGGTGTATGGCGACGGGCTGCCCGCATCGGGATGTTGTGAAGAGAGAGAGAGAGAGAGAGAGAGAGAGAGAGAGAGAGAGAGAGAGACGGGATGTGTTGTGGTGATGTTTCTCTTCTATCCTTCTGAGGAATTTTGGTACTCGGAATCAGTCGCCCTTGTCCTTTTTTATCGGCATCTCGGATATTTCTTTTTCCTTGTTTCCTTTCCTCGGAGACTGATGTGCAGATTGTCTTCCCCCACTTCCCTTCTCTGTCTTTTTGAATCGACAAATCTGATTTATTGGTTACCGACGACCGAGCCTTGTGTGATCTCTGGGCTGATTGGCCAAAGAATTGTTGCATAAGGATCCTCGATTCCTTCTGTTGGTATGCAAGTCAGATGCATGGATGTTGGGCGTGATTCTGTTTATGTATGAATTAAATTATCATGTTGGACGATTCGATGACCATCTCACTACTATAGGACGATCCATCTCGCGAACCACTGGCTTTCATCCATCTGATCAAAAGACAGGTCCCGTGCACGCACGCGTAGGCTCGACTAAAGACGATCGTTGCCTACACGAGCGTCTGCAAAACCTGAACTCGACCAATTCCCCGAATGGCTGGTTTTCCACCCCGATTTGCAACATGAATTTTGGTGTTCCCTTTCGTATTATTGACCGCGAGTGCTTGAGGGATCGGGAATTTCGGGAATATTGGGATCACTCTTGTTTGTCTGCACGACCCGGGGCGGGACCTCCGGAATTTCTTAACTTAACGGGGAACGAACGTATTTGTGAGTGGGACCTCGACAAGGCCTTGGGACGTATCCCCCATCTCCCCAGCTACTTTAGCCCATACACGTGTCACGTCGTCACGGAGTCCGGGATCATTATCTTGGGGACCGAATTCCCTCCTTATCACCGCATCCTACCCTATCACTCCTTAATCGTCGTCCCCTGGCTCGCAATCGCTCCTTACTGGCCCCAACCCCCGTGCTCAGAGTGTTTGCAGGACCACGAGTACCGAGCCTCCGGCTTCATCCGATGAGCTCGCTCGGAGGAAGAACGACGGGCGCACAACCTCCAATTGACGCTGGCCGCGTCAGATTCAGAGGCTTACGACGTTCGACGTCGGCAGGTGACGAGCCTCCGGGATAGCTATAGCGTCCCGACGGTGCACCAGATACGCCCCCGACCCGGACGACGGAACCAACAAAGGCGGTAGCTCTGTCTCCCGAAGCACAAAAAAAGACTCCAGTTTACGCCTACCCTCCTGCATTCGTATCCCGGAGCTTGCCACAAGAGATCTCAGTTCCGACCTGGGACTCCACCCCCACTTTCCTAAAATCCTTGGCACACACCTTTTCGCACTTCCAGGCCCACTCACACTCCGATCAGGAAGTCGCGTCGGGTGTGAGGTTGGGCGTCACAACATTAGTGGGAGGATAGCACTTGGTCCGATGCACATTGCGCTGAGGGAAGCGGTCCAGCCGAACCGGAGATATTTTTCTCGTTGAAAGGAGGCCTCATGTTTTCGTGATAATGGATTCCTTGTTTTTTCTCAAAAATATTAAAAAGTAAAATTCGCAACCCTAAGGCTGCGGTATAGTGGGCGTCGGCGTCTGCGTCAAGGTGTCGCATTTTCGGCTGCGGGCGACCAGGACGCAAAGTGGGTTTTTAGGGGGCAAAAGTTTGGGGGGGACCGGTCCTTGGCAAAATTAGGGACTACCTACAGGCAGCTTTGGAATGACCGGGCCTTTTGGAAAAAGCAAGGACCGGTCCTCGGGTTGAAGCCGACCCCTAAAAAGGGTCCTTAGCAATATTGGGGAGTACCTACAGGCAGCTCTGGAATGACCGGGCCTTTTCGAAAAAGCAAGGACAGGAAAGGTAGCCCCGCTCTCGTTTCAGTCGTTTGAACGCCTTCTCTGAGCGAAAAGCGTCGAACGTCGGTGCGAGGACATTGGGGGGCGTGGAGGCTTTTGGAATTCATAATCCGTAACACACGGTGAACGTGCGAGATCTTGACACAGCAAAAGAGAGAGAGAGTACGGACTTGAAACAAAGACATAGACGCACGTGGTAACACACCGTGAACGTGCGCGATCGAACACAGCAAGAGAGAGGGAGTACCGACGTGAAACAAAGATATAGACGTGTGTGATGAGGCACAGAGTGAGTTGACTTTGACTTCTGATAACACGAGAACCCTCTCTCTCTCTCTCTCCCTCTCTCGCCAGAAACATATGATGACATATCCAAGACACATAACAGAAGATTATAGAAGAATTATTGTCATCGCTTGTAGATATATGATGTTTTTTTTCTCTTTTTTTTTCTTTTTTGATGGTTCGATGGATCACAGATCAGATACTAAACTGGCCAGAACAGATACACTGGACTCAAAAGGCCGAGAAAGGTATACTGTATGATGGTATATTGTAGAAATTGCGCATTGGAGATGGCACGCGGGCGATGAAGGAGAAGATGCGCGTGGGAACAAAAGGGAGAAAACACATGAAAGAACGGGAATTACGAGGAAACACGTGGGCGACATGATAGGAAAAAAATCTTTTGTGAAGAATGACGTGATGAGGAGGAGCAACGCGCGAGGAGCAAGGGAACAACGCTTGAGAAAAAGGAAGCGCGCAAGAGCAAGCCCAATGCGTGAGTACGTGATGAGCGCATTCACGTGCGGTGAACGGGCGACGCGCAATGAAAAGCGGAAGGATGCACCCCTAAAGAAGAGGAAGAAGAGCAGGAGTGAGTGAGTGAGTGAGTGAGTGAGTGAGTGAGAGTGTGAGAGTGTGTGTGTTTGTGTGTGTGTGTGTGTATGTGTGACATCCTCTGTGTGTGTGTGTGTGTGTGTGTGTGTGTGTGTGTGTGTGTGTGTGTGGTGATCGAGGTCAAGAACCAGCGGAATCGGATCGTGATGGTCTAGATCCAGATGGAAAAACGGCACCCATGATTGTAATACATTCACCTCTCAAACCCCAAGCCGAATCAACCGTCCCGGGACAGCCACAACTACCACGGTGACCTGTAACCTTTCAAGTTCATATTATCTTCAACAGCAGCATCGGGATCCGTTCCGCGCTCCCGCTTTTCCCGCCTCTACTTGTGCTTTTCCCGCCTCTACCTGTGCCTGAGGGGCGGGAACGATCTTCTTTTATTCTCCTACTACATGTCGCGGTGGGAAGGGCATCCCCCCGCTCTCTCCGCTCTTTCTCTCCCTCTAATCTCTACTCAGCATGGCCGCCCCGTTTTTTCCTGAGTGCAGATATGTGCAAGATCTACTGATTAGCAACTCGCACGCCTACGGCTTCTGTACGTATTTTGCATGTGTATATCTCCGTTTTTCTTGACATCTGCCCTGGTTAACTCCGCGTGTTAACGCCACGTATTTTGATATTGTCCACGTTAGCTCCGCGTGTTAACCCCGCATGTTTTGATATGTGTCCTCGTAAACTCCGCGTGTTAACCTCGGTTGTTTTTTTTAATTACTTGCTCCCGGATTTCTTGTTAACTCAACAAGCGAACCAGGGTGTTTGTAAGGTAACCAATCAAACGAGCAATCAACAAGCGAGCAATCAAGCAAGAAAAACACGCGAGCAATCAAAAAAGCAATCAACAAGCAGACAATCAACAAGCGAGCAATCAAGCGATCAATCAAGCGAGCAATCAAGCGAGCAATCAAGCAAGCAATCAAGCAGGCAATCAAGCCAGCAATCAAGCAAGCAATCAAGACAGCAATCAAGCGAGCAAGCAAGCAAGTGCAAGCGAGCAAATAAAAGAAGAGAAATTAAGCGAAGAGCAATGAAGAGAGTGATCGATGCCTTCAATTAAGCGATCAATTAAACAATTGCTAACGTCTTGCCTCGAATATAACACACCTTGATTACGAACGTATACGAGTCATCTTTCTGCTCCTATACAGTCTTGATGAGAGGGTGCGCAATGTTATCTCTCTCTCTTTCTCTCTCTCTCTCTCTCTCTCTCTCTCTCTCTCTCTCTCTCTCTCTCTCTCTCTCTCTCTCTCTCTCTCTCTCTCTCTCTC